GAAATCCACGTCCATACAGGATTTGTACGAGGAGCAGGAACAAGTGCCGAGGTGTCCATAGTCATGAATGGCTCGGTAGGTGACAGCGACCCAAGAGTGCTCAAAGACTCAGTACGGAAGGTATTTCGCACAGGTGGTGTGGACGCCTTCCTCATGACGGCACCACAGTCACTGGGTGTYTTGAGAAACATTCGCATATGGCATAAYAACGCTGGTGATTATCCATCTTGGAATCTTCTCCGAATTATGATTCAAGATCTACAATCWGGAAAGAGATGGTGGTTTGTATGCGACGAATGGCTGGCTGTGGACGAAGGAGATGGGAAGATCGAGCGTATCTTGTATCCTGCAACGTCCAACGATCTTACAAAGTTCAACGTCCTGTTTGCRACTGAAGTGAGTAATTCTGTTAATGCGTCAAATAGAATTCAGTGCGCCATCAACAATTAGGCAAGCAATCCATCAAACACACAAATGAAGCTATAAGAAACTATGGTAATAGTTATAATTTATCCATTCATTCTGAAACGACAGCAATTTGCAATACTGTGCAAAGTAAATTTCATTATGAAAACGACGTCGTTTTTTGTCTATTGTCAAACTTAAAGTACTTCTGATCAAAGTACTACTACTACTCTACTCTTATTCCATACAGATTCGYAAGAACTTAACAGATGGTCACTTATGGTTTTCTGTGGTTACACGTCCCGCTCGGAGCACCTTCACAAGGGTACAGCGATTAACTTGCTGCTTATCTATCCTTCTGACGTCTATGCTCGCCAATATGATGTTTTACARAAACGATCCCCAAAAGGGACCAAAAGGGTCCATTCAAATAGCGGGCTTCAGTTTCTCACTTGAACAGGTTTCTATTGGTATAACTAGCAGTCTTGTTGTGTTTCCTGCCAATTTGATCATCGTGCAGTTATTCCGGAAAGCACGCGCCAAGGAAGTCAARAACGACATTGGAAAGTACGATGACATAACTCAYGATGATGAAGACATCGAATATGCCGGCGAAGCCGATGCTGATGAAAAGGCAAAGAAACCAGCRAAAAAAGAAGGACTTCCATATTGGTTTAACTACGTTGCTTACGYYATTGCTTTTATGAGCTGTGCTGCTGCAACGGTGGTTGTCGTCTTCTACGGGATTACGTTCGGTGAAGAAAAAACCGGCAAATGGTTGATGTCTATGACAATTTCTCTTGTCCAAGATGTACTCRTTTCTCAGCCAATCAAAATATTCATACTTGCATCGATGTTTGCTCTGCTCATCAAGGACCCTAACAAGGCTGAAAGTGATCCCATAACTGATGCTAATAAGCTGTCAGCAGATGAGGAATGGCTTCATAAGAATGTCAAGGTAAACGATAGTTTCTCAGAAAACAATTTGCGTTTCTAATCTTTAAGGTCACTGTCCAACTTGTATGCGGTATGAAAATGTTAAAAATGGCTGCTCACATTTRAATATTTTTTTTAAAATCCACAGGACTTGAACGACGATGAAAAACAAGACTTTAAGAAGCTTATCACGGACCGGCCACCGGACGAGGCAAAGTTGGAGATTGCTCGACAACTGCGAATGAAGGAAAAACAGATGAAGTCCATCATCCGAGAACTTGTGTGGTATCTGATCTTCTTACTTGTGATACTGACCATAAGCTATGGAAACAGGGATCCCGATACATATCGTATTACCAAGTACATGGAGGATTTGTTTGTCAAATCTCGATACAATGGCACTAAAAAATTTACAGAGGTAAAGCTAAACAATCAATAACAGCAGTCAATCCGCATTATWGTTTGCCTAATTTGCAACTTTTTTCGATATCGATCGCTGGCGATGGATAGATAACTATTAGCATGTAGAAAACAATAAATAAATCCGTCCACACTTTTCCATTTAGGTACAAAAGATAGATGATTACTGGAATTGGATGAATGAGACTGTCATACCAAGTATTTACAAAGAACAATGGTATAATAGTGACCAGACATACCCAGTCGGTTTCCTGGCCGACACACCAACCGACTATTTGCTGGCGGTGGTCAGACTAAGACAGCTACGAATAAAGAAAGGTAAACTAGGCCATGTCTGTTGTATCTTCGTAAACATGCTGAATTATTAGGGGCCCTATATGAAAAGCAATCTTTCCTTGGAGTAGGCCGTGCTTACCATCTGCACATAATTCCCTTACTCTCCACTCTTTCGTCCCTGGATTTCCAGGAGCTCGTCACACTAAACMCCATCAAACAAAATGCCATGGAAACAACAGGAAAGATCATATAAAATATAAGAGATATTATCGTGGTCGAAGTCATTTTTTAGGATAGTAAAATCCAGAAAAAAAAGGAACCATAAGTTTGTTTTCTTTACCAGATTCCTGCACCTATCTACCGGTCTTTAAACATGTGATAACAGAATGCAATGACTTCTACAATTCGGACGAAGAAGACCGAGCWGGATACCTACAAAACTGGGTAACTCCTCCTGATGTAAACACYACTATGCGTCCTCCTGGCGCCAAGAAAACCGCCTGGGAATACCAAACAGGCTCGGAACTTAAGACGTTTCCTTACTGGGGATACAAAGCTACATATAATGCAGGGGGTAAGTTTAAAAATAAAAGTAGCAATAAGTCAATGTATAAATTCATTTCTGAATCAATCTGGCCAGAAATTACTGAATTCATTGACAACTTAAATCAGTAGTACTACATTAATTGACCCATAAACCAATGAAAAATGKTCTAGTCCTTGCACATGAMCACTTACAAGGYATATTATTTTCAGGCTATGCCAAGGAGTTACCCACSAATAGTATAAACGACAACATCRACAARGCATATTCGATAGTTGCAGAACTGAAGTCAAAAGACTGGATCGACCGCTACACCCGAGCTATCTTCACAGAACTAGCAATATATAATGCAAACACTAATTTYTTCTGCGTCATAACCYTGCTGTACGAGCAACTYCCAACGGGTGCTCTATTCAACTACCCCAGCATTTTRACTCTCAAGCTGTATCGCTATGTTGGTGGTGATATGTACTTCGTGATGGCTTGTGAGATTACATACWTGYTGTTCACGCTGTTTTTCATMTTTCGTGAACTGAAGAARGCCAAGAAAGAAGGTCTCGCATCCCTAAAGAACATTTGGAGCCTTTCGGAGATCTTCATCACCATGCTSTCTCTATCTCTTGTTGTATTGTACTTCTTAAGGATAAAGTTCACAGACGATGCTGTGGCACAGATGCGCGCTGATCACTCTCAGTTTGTTAGTTTTAACTACACAGCTTTTCTGGACGAGTGGATAAATGCCTTGATGGGCTTCGTTGTGTTCTTGTCATTCATCAAAATCATCCGTTTGCTKAGATTTAATAGAAGAATGTCACTTCTGGCTCAAACGCTAAGAGTCTGCATTCCAAGAATTGCTGCATTTCTTGTTATCTATGGGTCRTCCTTCTTCGCCTTTTCTTTGTTTGGATGTCTTGTATTTGGACAAGACATGGAAGGCTTTGGGACAATCTTACGSAGCGCAACGACTCTWATGGACACAATCCTTGGCAAGTTCCAACTGAGAGAGATGACCAATGCCAACAGAATCATTGGRCCATTCTTCTTCTACTTCTATACAGTWRTAATGGTGTTTATTCTGATCAACATGTTCCTGTCAATCATCAATGACTCATTCGCTGAAGTCAACAGGGACGTGAACAAGCAGTCAAACGATTATGAAATTGTCGACTTCATGGTCCATAGACTAAAAGAGAATATTGGGAAAACCATGGGTAATGCTATTGTACCAATCTACAAGGAACCTAAAACTAAGTTAGAGAARGACTTTGATGCAATAGAAGAAAATGCAGATAATATAATGCATCACATGAGAAACCTGACATTCGAGAATATGAGGCACACAAGATGGTTTGACGCGAATGCATCCAAAGAAAAGAAGAAGAAAATGTTTGAAATTCTGATGGAAGTTGATTGGGACTACTTTGARGACGAGCTGGGAGACAGCATACCTGTATTTGAGGATTTCCTGTCAAAATATGACGAAAAAAGGCTACAGTCCGTTCACGAATCCTACCGTTATAAAAAATTACGAGATCAMGAGATCGAAAGCAAGATGTCGAGCGTGGTGGACAGTGACACTGACGAGGAGAGCAGTGATTCGGACAACTCAGATGGTAACTCTGATGCTCCAAGCAATGYCAGTGGGGATGAGGAAGACGATGATCAAACTCTCAGAGAAGAGATCCAATTGGAAATACCGTCAGATACCTTAAGTGTACGTGCACCTAGTCCAGGGCTGTCCATTCGGGGTATGTATGGCTTGCCAGCTCGTWCAACATCAGCAACATCTAAAAGGCCGGAATCATCACTGTCGACCCGTAAGACAYCGATACCAACGTTAACGGTCCAAGCTCCAACGATCTCTTTGGCAACCGAAGTTGAAATGTCCAAAGTTTTAGAGGATGTTGAGAGAGAACGTTGCGCAACTGATGCCGAGCTGAACAGCTTTCTTCCAGAAATACGATCAGTCGACGAGAACAACATCCCTCAGTATGAAAGTGATCCTGAGCAAGTCAAGAAAAAATCGAAGAAGAAGAAGAAAACCAAGCCTGACAAGAAAAAGAAAGACCAGGGTGAYCCGGAAACCTTCTCTATAAAAAGTAAACCTGCATGGGGTGACTCCGATACTATGATGCGAAAATCGCCGGCGGGATCGAGCGAAAAGGATCGACTGATACCCGATGGTGAAGACAACAAGGGTATTGACAGCCAAGGCAGGGATAATGATGCATTTGACGGAGAACCTCAGATTAAGGAAAAAAGGAAGAAGAAAAAGAAAAGGAAGCAATCAGATGTATAAAGATAGAAATGTGTACACTTCATTAAACAGTCCAAACTCATAGAACCTCATCATTACAGAAGACAACCCCCATGCGCCCTTTAGGTATAAACCAAGTTCTATGATTTTGAGCCCATTAACGTTTATTAAATCGARTGTATACGTAAAAATTCACTAAATAATTAGTCGATGATTCCGTGTACGTCGTAATGAAATTGAAATCAAATTAATAGGTTTTGACGTCATTTTTGACGGTYCCCAAAATATTCATTTTGAAAATATTACCCAGAAAGACTTAGTGTTCAATTTAGTGAAAGCCAGCGATGCATGTTTCTGGTATTTTAACGCAAACTCATATTTTAATGAGTTAAGGTAGTGGCAGTAAGAACGTTAAATAATGACGCCATTGGGATTCCTGTGTCATAGTTGTACTAAACATAGCTTTTGGGGATGGCTTTTCATTCCATGACATTGGTAATTATGTAAAGCAGTTTTTAGAAAGCCACTGTAGCACATTTTTGTAAAATAGTAAGCACTAGAGAGTGGGACAAGACTAGTTTTAGTAAAACAAACCATTGTTGAGTTCATTGAGATGTTGTTGTCTTAAAAGGGAATAAAATACAAGTAAGAGAAAAAGCAAATGAATGGAAGAAAAGACGGTGGGAAGACTGTGCAGTTATCAAAGAAATCTTTGTTTTACATAACCACYTTTGACAGATTATGTCTTACATATAATTTAGCATTCTATAAAACATGCAAAAGCCCTGTACAGTTGTTTGCAACTGAACTGTTTCRCTAAGTTTTTTTCCTTATTCTATCAATTTGGTGCTGTAGCATTTTTTGAGTAGATTCCTGTACAATGTATTCTACAAACCCTTTGATGTCTTCATCTTCAGTTTCCTTCATTTTCTGTAGAAAATCCCTTCTCAGATTCTTTTTTGTTAGAACTCTGGCACGATCTAGTACAAAATGGGAGAAATATCTAAAGTTGCAACAGATAACCAACGTTGAATGGTACAATAGCCTTCTCCCCTCCCCCTCTCATGTGCAACTTGTCTCTGCAGTACCTGTATTAGACATTCCCACTACCTAATCGGTTCAGTAATCAACAAAAACACAGAAAACCAAAGTTACAAATCAACCACCCAGTCTGCCTCAACAAAGGAATTGATTGGTCCATTTCAACTATAGTTCAGGGGGGTGTACATCCCAACCTGAGATCAGGTGTGTGTGCAGGAGTTTCATGAGGGAGGGTCCAGATGGGCCTCCAATTCGTTATACTTATACGAAATTATGTTACTCTATTGGATTGGCATATAAAACCTCATATTTCAAAGTCTTTGTCTTGAGTGTGGGGTTCCGGATTTCCTGGAACCCTTTGCACACGCCCCTGAAGATGATGTTGTGCCAATGTATATATTGAATACAATACACCTGCCTCTCAGTCTGTTTGTCATTCTGTATCCTTCCTTCCATTTTAAATATTCCTACAAACTTAATAATGGAACTCTGAATACCTGGAATCTTAAGCCATTYTTTCATCTCTTCATGTGATTCACTAAGGATATCCTCTTGTGGCACAACTTTATCTACAAGACCTTTGGCCAATGCTTCCTCACTTGAGAACATCTGTCCCAGTAATGATGCCTTTTCMGCTTCACGGTAACCCAACAAGGTGATGAAAGATTGCAACACCCTATAGAGAAGCAATTAAAACTGTTCTCCATACAATAGACCAATCCAGCATTCACTTGCCTGGATGAACACGAACAATGGCTTCATTTCGAGGCTGGAGTTTTTGCCAAAAGATAAAACTTCAGCCTCGAAATGAAGCCATTGTTTCATGTTCATCCAAGCGAATGAGGGATTGGTCTATTTTACTTGACCAACAGCACTAATAAAAAATCCTATTTTAATATTGTGTCAAACAACAAGAAACAATGCTTAATTTTCCATTGGACTGCATATTATAACCTTACCATGGAGGAGCTTGAATTCCCTGAGAAAATAACAACACACAAATCAAGACTGATGAAAGATATTGATCATGATTACAAAATAGTTTTAGTAAATTTCCACAAAAAGGGTGCTATAAACTACCTGCAAAATATTAAACAAATTAAACTCACAGCAATTGTTTCATTAAGGCCTATGGTGAAATTGGGTGACATGATTCTGTAGTCACAACCACTAGCTAATACACATCCTCCAGCCACAGCATGGCCCTTGAATTGAAATAACAAATAAATGGAGTTAAGTATAACCACAAATAAATGGGGTTAAGTAGATGCTTTCATTGTAGCAAAAAAAACAACAGTCAAGAAATATGCTCAGTTACAAGTGTTGTTTGAACAGTCAAATCTTTGTGTGAATGGACAAATCTTTTAATCTTAGTCTTGCTGCTCATGTAACTTTATTTTCTGCCCTGCAAAACGTTTTCCTTTTAAAGGGACACTGTCAATGGATGACATGCGCAGTAACAATCTCACCTCTAACGGACTTTGAAATTATAACCTTCGAGGTAAATCATTTTGTGGTGCTTTTGACACACTTTGGAATATTCTAGATCTGTTTACGTTTACGATCTGATTTATGTCCGACTCGCCAACTTGGAGTCATAAACTTGAAAACACTAGCCTAGTGTTTTCAAGTTTACTCGCACATGTGTGCCATTGACTGTGTCCCTTTAACAACAATTGCATACGTTTTTTGGAACTTTTACAGACAATTATAAATCAATGGTTGTTAATTGGATATTTTAAGATAACATTTGCTCTGCTAAACACTATTGCCAGATTTCACGTCTGAGCAGTAGACTGGGAAAAGCATTCCGCAAACCATACATTTCTTTGTAAGTTTTAGYATTTTTGAACTGCTGTACATTCCTCAATATTCACCAGAATAACACCAAACTTTGGAATTTTATTATTAATGTTGAAGCATTCTTTAAGACCATATTGGTTACGTACACCTAGACTTGCTACAAGTCGGACTCTCTTTGGACTCAGAAAAAGAAAGAATAGAACTCCGAGCATGAAGCGCGAGAAAAAACAGCGAGCACGGAGCGCAAGAGTCCGTCCCTTATTCCAGGGGAGTAAAAGGGACTTTGTGAAAGTCTAACGTACACCCTGCAATATTAAAACTTGTGCCCAGTCTCCTGTCCAGACCCAAAAGYTGGCAATCAATCTAAAAGGTTCTCACATTAACAGCTGCTATGGTAACAAGCCTTGAGTCGTATAGTTGCATAAACATTTTCCTAAAAGAGCCCCAGTACAATGTCAGTCTTTCAGGGTTAGGATTATGGAGCTCGTTGACAAGRTCCAAACCAGCAGAAAATACACTTTTGCAACCCTAAAAAGATAATTTGATAACAAAGTCTTCGATAGGAGGTGGGAGGCTGAACTTGGTAGTGACAGGGGTTGGGGTATGGGACTATAGCCCATCTTTATTTTGTTGTAAAAGTTTTTGCTGTTAACAAGAATTCCACATATTCACTTACAAGGTAAACAAGGCTATTATTTCTGACCCTGAATGGTCTAATTAATAAATCTTGTCAATCACTATTGTAATGCGGGGCCCCTGGGAAATGCTAATTGGTACACAAACTTACCGAAGTGAGAATAAGACCGCGAATTGAGGTATTGTCTTCCAGACTTTGCATAGAAGAGATAATCTCCTCAATGAATTCAAGAGAAAAGCTATTAACAGGTTTTCTCTTTATCTCCATAACCGCTACATCATCTTTGATGTCTAYCCCAACCAAGGAAGAGTTATGCCTTGCGGAATTCTGAGCTCCAATTCTTGCAAAAATCCTAWAAAGGTTSCCATCTAATGAAAGRAAAATACAGTATAGGTATTATTTCTTCCTACTTAAAGAAAAAATAAAWGCATAGCTTCCAAATTGTTGAGAAAAACTTACTTGAAAAACGAGAAAAGCTCCTAAGTGCAGCCGCCATCTTGATTTCTATGTGGCAGCGAGGGGAATGGCACTACTAAGCCACAATGCGCAAGAAGCGCGCACTGCATACACCCGCCCAGTTCGAAACAACAATTCATACAACTAGACAGCAAGGCTCTGTATCTCTGTAATTATTCTTTTATTTCTTATTATTTCTCTCTATTTTCTAAAATAGACTATTTTGCTTTCTTTGTTCYTAGTTGATTTAACCTTGTCTCTATTTGTTTTCTGGTTGACTCATTGAAAATTGTAGACAAGAATATTTGGACATCCTCTTCCTTTGTTCTTTCAAGCAGCTGAAGTAAATCCTTTCGGAAAAATCTCTTTACTGCTTTTCGTGGTTCATCTGCAAAACAAAATGCATTAAACATTAATATAACGATGCAAAATCAAATTACTGCATCTCAAAACATTTCTCCACCATTTACTGAGAGCCTTCTCATCATTTCTTCATGTGCTGTTTGCATAACTTCACTGGATGCAACAGCACTATGAATCAAGCCAATATCAGCAGCCTTCTCAGATGAAAACACTTGAGCYTTGAAGATGATTTTCTCTGCCATGTTTCGTCCAACAGCATTTATCAAAGTTCCTGACATCCTAGAGAAAAAGAATTCCAATACATTAAGTAGTCATGGCTAAAAAGTTTGGTGGTAAAATAGAGACAAACAAGGATGAATAAAGGAAAGTTCAAGAAGGAAAGAGAAAAGAAAGAAAGAAGAGGATGGAAAAGAAATGTAGGAAAGCTGGATTAACACTGGCAGATCCAACACTTAAGTTCACTAATTTGCATCATAAAATAGAATGGTTCATTCTCATGGATTTGTTTTATGATGCAAATTGGTGAACTAGTGCTGGATCTTCCAGTGATTAACTCACCATGGTGAAAGGTAGAGCCCCTAAAAAAATAATAAAAACACAAATGTTTTAGTGCCACAGGTGATGAGATATAAATGAAATTTATTAAATGGTATTGCCTCATTTGCTTCTTTCAAGCACTTGAAGTTCTTTGAGTGGCAGATCTACTAGCTGATGGGGTGTACGTAAGTTCACACTTTGTATCATAATATTACCTTTCTACATTTAGGAAAAAAATTCATGCACCAGATGTGCGCCATTGATAACTCCCTGGACCACCTTATGAAAATCCTAAATCTGTAGATGGCCCCTGTTTTGAACAATTCACTTACCAAGGAAAGCTCTGGTAAACCTATCCTGTATCCAGTTGCCATGATAGACACATCACAAGCCATTGACAAAACACAGCCTCCAGCAATTGCATGTCCCTATAAACATAATAGAAATTACATGTAATGCAAAACTCTTTAGAAATTTTTTATTCTTTGGAAGCTTTATGATCATTTCATGGAAGGTTAAATGCAAATTATAAAGAAATACACATGTGGCTTATAGGTACTGCTAGAAGTTTACTATAATTATWCTAAGCTTTTGCTGTCTACAGGGCTTAATGCTAGAGAAAAAAATGCTGCTTAAGGAGAACTATTAGCCTGCGTGCATCCGAACCAAAACTTGTTGTTATAACAAGTTTTGGTTCGGATGCATGCAGGCTAAGAACTATCAACAATTAATTAAATGCAAACCTTGATGGCTGCCATGGTTACTAAACTGGATCCATATAACCGAGACCACATTTTCTGGAATGTTTGACGAAACATCACAAGTTTTTCTCTGTCTGACWGTAGAACTTCCTTTAAATCTAGGCCAGCACAAAACACATTGGGAATATCCTAGAAATGATAAACATCAATAATTACTATAATGTAGCTTGGTCATTGCATGCCATGTTAATAGTAACATAATGTTACTTTAGGAAAAGGGGAGGAAATCAGGGGGGAAATGAATATCCCAGTAAATAGGCCCTTTGCAATATCAACACTAGATACTTCAAAAATTTGCAGCAAATATTGATGCTTAATGAAACTAATTTAACATCAAGCTTACAGATGTAATGATTAACCCACGACACTTCTTGCTTTCTACTATCTCTAGACCTTCAATGATCTCATTCATGAAGTCCATACTGAAGCTGTTCACGGGAGGTCTCTGTAAGACAAATGTCGCCACCTGACCATTTTTGCTGCAGTCGATCTTTATGTGAYTTTTTGTGCACACCGATGGAGTGGTTCCAAATGTTTTCAATAATGCATTCTTTACCAGACGCGCTAGAAATAAAAAAAATATTATAGAACAATTAGAAGGAATAATAAAATAGTACGGTTCAATTCACCTGTGCAGGTATGCAATCTTGGATTATTTCTTGGTATATTTTTTGCGACAATGGCGAACGCCATTTTCATTGCTTTACATTTGCATATTTTACAGTTTGGTCACGCAATCCTAAGTGATGCATAATGTTACTGGTAACTGATTTTTTAACAACATTTAATTGTTCGTATATTTCCTTTAATTTTATTGTTTTAAATGGATACTTTTTAAGGTTTAGACACATTTTATTATTGAATAATATAATTCAGGAATTTCAATTAACTTTGAGTCCATTCATGCGGAACACGTCAATCAACATTACGGTCATGTTGTTGTTGACATGCAAGAAGCCACGGCATGGAGCGATCATTCAAGTCCAAGTATAGCTTCATTCTTCAAACGATTTCCACTTAGGATATAAAGAAATACTTTACAAGTGCACCCTTCTAGACATTGGAAACACCCGAAGGAAGRACCGAAATGCAAAGGTAAGCTTTTCAAAGTTGTTTTGTCTCGTTTGGTCAACGATTCATTTATTGGTTCGTGTTCTCTCTAATGCCGCAACACACGAACATGGCATGGCATTTTCATAGCTTTCCTGCAAGTCAATCTTTAAACGTTTGAGCCACGATTTATGTTCCAATGCAATATACTTAAAACGACACAAATGATATACCTATTTCTCATGATATATCGATAGTCTTCTATTTATTCAACTTGGTTTTTGGCTGCGTACAAGTTGTAGGCTCGCCTGCTCTTTTGTGAAAATTGTTGTTGTATATATAGGGCTTGTATTAAGATTTGCTTTACACAATTCATTCATACACACAATAAATTTCTGTCCAATACACTACGATTATTTCCTACAAGAATTACAGYAAAAGTTTTCAAAAGAATTCTTGTTGTTATGAAGTTCAAGTTTGACCATCTGGAATTTATGCCAGCAATTTCCACTAAGACACGTCCCAGTATTCGCTTTGTAGAATTTAACTGTATCAAATAACTTTTAAAGTAATAATCATTTATTTGTTACTTTTATTCTACAGGCTTGGAGCTCAAAACTKTGACTACAACAACACAAAGTTTAATACTGAATTGATGGATGCAGTTAAAAAGTTGGACAGAGAAAGAGTTTACAAAATACTGAACAAAGGTGCTGACATAAATGCACTCAATGATGATGGAGACTCCTTACTTCATTATTTCATAAAGGATGGCAAGATTCAATCTGTTAAACTCTTGGTAGAATTTGGTGCCGATACAACCTTACAAAATAGAGATGGTTGGCCTCCCATGCATGTTGCTACCTTCCTTGGACATAGAGACATCATGTTGTACTTGCTGATGAATGGAAGTCGTAAYTAGCTTATAGAAGTACACAGTGCTTAAAACATTACCTTGAGCACCAACGCTTTTACTAAGATCACAGCATTGAGACTGTACACAGTCTTGCTTCATAAGAATTATTGACAGAATTATCATAATATAATTTCACAAATCAATATCAACACCAAATCAACTAGTGCAGGCATCAAGGCAGTTGCCTTAGTCAATGCATCAATGGATAGACACACTTATTCATGAAACAACTAAAATTGCTACTAAGCATACAATAGCATCTATTTTGCACTATTCCAGTTACATGAATGAAGTGTGTTTACTCAATAAAATTGAAAATATCTTGAATACATTTCTCATTCACAACACCAACCTTTCATCTTTGCAATATGATGAAAACAGTTTTCTTTCTATTCTATGATGAACATTGTTTCAGTTTAATAAACTTAATTTCACCTTTGTAAAATTGGTAGTMTTTTTTCAAATTCTTAAATGTGCAGATCATTCTTGTWCAACAGCCCTGTGTTCACAAAAATGTTRTTGTTGAAKGAACAAAAGGAATACATGCCTCCSCYTGACAAGCAAACCAGGAAGTAAATTGCAAATAACTGGAATAATTTATTTATTGCAAGAAAATAACTRGAGTTTACAAYAATGCCTATTGCTGGGATTCAAAGTTTTYAAGCCATTTTTTCACATTAGCAGGAGCTTTGGATGAACCAGTTTTAATAACTGCACTTGCAACAGCTATGTCTGCAAGGGTCAGCTGATTTCCAACCAACCAGCTACTTTTACCAAGAGCAGCATTAAGGTAATGTAATGCATTAGCCCGTTCTTTGCTTTTACCATTTACAATGTCATCTGTTGCGATGGTCATCCAATGGTCTACCTCAGCTATTTTATCAAAACCAAGCTTCCCATACAAGTCAGGCAATAYAGTCCGGCAAATATGACGAGCAATTGTGAACTCTCCAACGAGAGGAGTATGATTTGATGACAKTACAAGAACTGGTAATTCAGGAGCTGTTGAAAAAGAACAAAAATAGCTAGAATTTGTCTGAAAGAAACAAGTGATAATGTTGAAATGAAAATCATACTTACGTTAAAGTAAAAAAGTGAATAATGATTTCTGTCACAAATRTATGGATCAATAAGTTTGACCTTGTTCTGTTACTCACCATTTTTCCATATAACAGTAATAACGCATGGAGAATTTCGACCCTTGTCATTTTGTGATTGTTSAAATGAAGGTAGTTTGGACAGGTCCACACCTGCAGCAGTGGAATGGGTGAACATAGATGTTGAATGGGCAACACCCCTCTGTTTAAGGATGTGTTGGAGGAAAAAAACTGACAATGGGGGGTCAYCAGGGGAAGCYGAAATGACATGATCTACAGTCTTTGRACAACTCTGAAAAGGAAAGCGAGAAAAAACAGTTGGAAATACATGTACTCACTCTATCAAGATATTAGAACTCTACTRCATAGTTCTGCAAGCTTCTTGAGTGATATTTAAAAATATCTCTGGAATTTTAAAATAGAAGATCATCTTGTATAAACACAACCAGTCAATCCTGGCATCCACCATATAAATATGTTATAATTGTAGATAATTAAAATCAGGGAGTCAGTCCATTACTAGGAAGTCAATCAAGTAATTATGTGATTGGTAATTTGAAAAAATTGACTATTCTATGTTACTTAATACTTTTTTTGTACTTGTGGAGTTGCAATTAGTGGGCATTTTGAAACGCATATACCAGTATTATAAGTATTATCRTTTAACGATGATTATGTCTCTTGGCGCTACTAAAAAATACAGCCCCCAAATGACGTCTAATTATCTTACTTTGGAAGGAAGACGGACACCAAGCTTGGAAGCAAAATTTCTAACTTCGTTTTGRAGACTTTTTAAGYCATTTACGAGASTCTCCTGTYTTTTCTCCAATGCGCTAAAATCGTTTTCATTGATACCATTRCAGAGATTCTGACGAGCAARAAAACAGATCAGACATGACGCAATTTTTAGTAGTCATCGAAAATAAAATAAGAGTATTAAAAAATCAAATTTTAATTTTATAATGCTAACCTCTGTGTTATCCTTTTTATGATATGATTTCACTGAATACATACAGTTTGAAAGCTCAACTGGGCTAGAATCATCATAAAATGCCGGCAATTTGTACATCGACTTCGCCTGAACAGCCGCCATCTTGGTCAAAAGGAAATAATTGYTACGCGCGCAATGCATCATGGACTTCTCTTTATAAAAAATCAATGCTAAAAGCAGACCAAAATTGTTAAATGAATAGAAAAATGGCAATAAATACATCACAATATTTTAAAAGAATTCGTTTTTTCCTTTTTATTCTGTTTTTAAGACAATTATCTCATTCTATAGAAATTTAACATTTACTTTYACCGAGATGCCTTGTGGGTTGGTCACGTGACATTGATGTCTCGTTCGTCCCGCCAGAAAATGTGGCTGCCAAATCGGAGGAAAAGTGAGAAAATGGCGAAAAGCGACCTGTAAACGAGTGGAAATTTCATCCAATTGTTGTCATCAGCAAGGGGCAGTGTGAATGCGTGCATTTAGCTGCAAAAATGAAGCGAGGAAGAGGAAGACCACCTAAAACTCCAACATTCAGCTCAAAGATATTAAATAGCGGTCGTCGCGGAAGCCATCATGGCGGCCCATCTAGTCCTCGAGTTAGTTCCCCACAAGGGGTCAAAACACGCGATTCTAACCGTTCTATACAGAGAAAAAACTATTTTGAAGGAATTCAGTTCAGTGAAAGTGATTCTGATTCTGACTCGAGCTATGAATCGTCCGTTTCAAGCGTACCAAGTTATAAATCTCCTCATCGACTTCGGGTTATACCTATGAGGAGCGTGACCCCGCTGAAACTTCCACCATCTTCGGATGATATTATACTACCACCTGAACATGTCCTCCAAGCTCTTAGCATCTACGAGGTGTTAAGGCAGTTTGGAAGGATACTCCGACTCTCACCCTTTCGATACGAAGATTTTTGTGCGGCGATTGATAGCGCAGAGCAATCAGTTTTGTTGTCACAAATTCACATGGCATTGTTCAGGGCACTTCTTCTCGAAGATGARACAAATGGTTATACATTTGCAGCAAGCGACGAGAAAGACAGTCTGAATATCTTTCTTCACGAAGTCGATTGTTTTACCTGGCCGGAACACATTCGAAGCTATTTCTTTTCAGATAAATCGGAATTCGGTGATCTTTTCGATTTAGTATGTGGTCGTGATCATAACAATCCGTTCCCATTCGTGTCGATCGAAGATCGCTTGAAAGCCCTTAAAAGACTTTGCGACCTGTTTTTAGCGTCGAATACTGTTCGCGAAGTGATCATAAAYGAAGGGATAACAGAATCAGAAGATCACTGCCGAAGTTGTTGCAAGATGGGCGACCTCTTATGCTGTGAGAATTGCCCTGCCGTCTACCATCTTCACTGCCTGAAACCGCCGCTCGAAATAGTTCCCGAAGGCGATTGGCTATGCCCTATATGCGACGAACATCGACTCAAGGGGGTGACTGAGTGTCATRCAGACTGGACTAAGGATGGGTGGCTGAGACACACACCTATTGGGACTGATAGAGAGGGAAGAAAATATTGGTTTTTGTCAAGACGTCTGTTTGTGTAAGTATTTAATTACAGATTAAATGTAGTGATAGGCTGGCTGCTATGCACATGAAATGAGGGTATATTTCCATCTTGGCTTTTTTGTTAAGATAATATACCAACATATCAATGATGCGAAAGACTTGTTTTCAGTTCTAAAATTAAATGTATGCATAATGGMAAGATGAAAAATATATTGCGATAAGACACAGATATAAAATATGTCCCAGTGGTCCAAGAAATGGGTGTGTCTACAAGCCTAATCCTTTCTGAAAAAAAAAGCAAAACCAAAACAGGATATTTTTACAAATATATATTTGCATCCAAGAGCAGTGTAAGGAAAACCTGGAAATGTAATGTTCTTTGCAATATCATTTTCTGAATTAAAGAAATCTGCAAAGGCTTGGATTGTTTTCAGAATTTCAATAGCACAAAAAATTTCATGATTCACAAGAAAAGTTTTTTCTGAAGGAATCATGAGAAAGGGATGAATATGCTGCAATATTACTGACCACTCCCAAACAAAAACTCCTCATAAAAACAAAAACAAAATACCAAACAAAATTCCAAACAAAATGCAAAWAAGGACAAAAAGAAAGAAAAGAAACTATAAAAAACTTGAAAATGAAAGATATACCAACTTCAATAAATGTCATTATAAAGTCTTTTATAAACTCAATTATAGGGAAAGTGAAGATGAAACAGTTCGTTACTATAGCAGCAAGACRCACTTTGATGAGCTTATCGAGTATTTAGAGGTTGATGGACAGGAACGCCGACTACTGTCTGCCCTTAAAACAAAGTATACCACTATAGTCAAGCATATGGCAATTACTATGTCACTCGTAGAGGCATCCAGAGGTTGGTAATCTATTTTATGAMATGTTAATCTCAATTCAATATTGCAGTCACTGTCAATTTTGYCCTTATTGACAACAAGTTCTCTCTTCAAGTTCAAGTCTCATTAGTGTTCATTATCTAAACTAAATGATTGCATTTTCATTTTAAATCCTATGATTTACATGTACTCTTAACAAGAAGCTAGCAGCAGTGGTTTATGAAGGATAAAATGCCATGTGGGCATTGGAAAAAAGGTGGTTTTTTTTGGTACTGCTAAACACAAACTCAGTAGTTTCCAGCAAGTATCTGTATTTGTAAGGTATCTCTGTCAATATTCAGATGTATGCCTGAAAGACATGACTGCATGCAACCAGATTTTTTTTAAGCTAAAAGATAAATCTTACAAAAATTTAGAAAGCATGGCAATTTAGAAAGCACTATTTTTGCTATATTCATTAACAGGCAATATGACATCTGGTCTCCTGCCAAGAAGGAAAGATGTAGAAGAAAAGAAAAGCAGTAAGGCTGTAGCAGATCAAGAAACAGGTAAAGATATAATTAATMCTGAAGTCCTTGATCTGGACCATAGTCAATAAAAGTCTGCCCATGTCTGATGTGAGGTAGCTTATCATTTGAAATCAACTGTTTTCAGTTAAAGAGGAAGAAACCAGTCCTAAAGTAAGTCTTACTTTTGTTCCTGACACTGCTGTTGTGAAAATGGTCACCAAAGGCAATCAAGAATCACCAAATGAAGTGGAAAGTGACAGGAGGTTGATAGCCATGAAACAGCATGAAGAAATAAAAGAAGRTGAAGCCAACAGTGAAGAGATGGAGGAAGGYGAGAATTCATCTCCAGATAGTATTGATACCAATAGCAAGACATTAGGAAAGMARCTGGATATYGATGGAAATGAGTCTGTYAAAAGGGAAGCCATTGATTTATCTTGTGCAAGTGATGTTCAGATGGATAGTGAGTCTCCAGAACAAATCAAAACAGAAACAAATTCTTCACAAAAATCTGAAGAGAACACTACAGACAAGATAAGTGACATTATTAGTGATGATACTTCTTTTGATAAATCAGTTTTACTTAACAAGCAACCTGACAATGTTGATTCACCTATAAACGCTACTACTTCTAGTGGTTCTTCTGCYGTCTCTTTGMATTCAGTTAGAAAAGTCATTGATTTTGGCTCTAGTGAAAGCTCACAGACTTTGGGAACAGAAACAAAAGAGACAGAWCCTTGTAAAGTTGATCCAGAAACAAAACATTTGGTACAAAATAATGATGTTGAACAAAATAATAAAAAAGATAATGACCCAGATTTAATTAAACMAGTCAAACAGGAATYAGAACCTGAAAATCCAGAAACAGAACCARTTAATCAAGGAACAGAAATGGAAGTGCCAAAAGATGAAGAAAGTAAGATGAAAMCTGAAGMAGTCATTAAGCAAGAAGGTGATCAAGGACAAGAAGAGGACAAAAAGGAAATCAAAGAGAAAGAAAACAAACCAACCATAAAACCAGAAATGCCAGAACCAAAAGGTCCTTTCTTCAGGCTTGGTATGGAAGGCAACTTTACTGCTTATGTGAACCAATATGCTACTAACCCATTAGCTTTAAACAAAAACCAACATATGGAGTATAAAGAAAGGAAAAGGTCTGTAAATAATAAATTCAGTGTTGAACATGAATTCAAGATCAGTGGAGAAATCTTTGGYCCTAAAGATGTCATTTTGAACACTCTACGTTGCTCCATAGTTAACCTAGAAAACAACATTCCTGCAGCATTTATGCATCCTATTTGGCCWCTTCAAAGRTCAACATGGGTGCGTGCTGTTCATATTGCTACTACTCCTGAAGAGTTTGGTGCTGTGTTGATATTTCTGGAAAGTCTTATAAGACCTTTGTGTTTTATTCCTGTGTGGCGTGATGCATTGGGTCATGTGGAGTTACACAGGGCAATTGTCGAAACTAAAGCTGARAGAGCTGCCAGGAAAAGAGAGCACAAAGAAGAAGATGAGGAAGTAGAAGTTCAGCATCGTGCCCTCGGTAAGTATTGAATTCAGAGAATAAAAAGATATCAATAATTGCCCTAGTTCATTATGACGTCACATCAAAACATTCTATTGTTTTAACGCTAAGGATTATGGTCGGCAGAAGGGATCAGAGTGACTGCATATCAAATCAAATGTACATGAACAATCATTTATACATGATATATATCAAAACGCGATTCATTGAGGTTCTACTTTATTAGACAATATAAATGTGTCCAAATTTCCACTGTTTTCGAGCATTGTTTTCCGATGTAAACATACTATGACGTCATAATGAAATAGGGCAATTTCTAGTTGTCATAGTGTATTCCCTTTTGATTAAGTCTAATTCTTTTTTCCAGTGAATTATTCTTGGGTTCCAATGCATCAAATATGGAAGCAAAAAGGAGAAGAATACAGGATATTCAAAGGAGGAGGATGGACGTGGCACAGTGGAATGTCAGCCAGAAAGCGTAAACACTGCTTTACCAAAGACAGAAGAGAATTTGAGTGTAAGAAAAGAAGGCTTTGTAAGGTTGTCGACAACTTTATAAACAAACGAGAAGAAAAGAAAAAAGAAGCAGAGAGAAAAGCTAAGGCTAAGTTGGCAGTGCAAGCCTACAAAGAGAATATGAAGTCCACTCAATCTGTAACACAAGGGAACATTGTAAAGCAGGTTGTATCTACTCCAAAGCCCAGTACCACTGCAAACACTGGTGTACAAATGAACAAAGTGTCACAGTCTATGGCTACATCTGCTGCAGTGCAACAAGGACTGTCTGTTGTCAATGTGCCTGGTGGTATAAAGTATTTACTCCAAAGTGGAAGTAGTGCCACACAATCCTCAAGTCTAACACAGGTCACACAATCTATGAGCATACCTAAAGTCACACCTTCTACAGGTGCAACACAAGGAACACCATCTGTAGTAGTACCACAATTGTCAGGTTTGGTGCAGGTCACAAAATCTTCAAGTGTACCTAAAGTCACACAATCAGTTGTAGTTCCACAAGTTCCACAATTGCCTGGTGTGATGCAGGTCCCACAATCTTCAAGTGTACCTAAAGTCACACCTTCTGCAGATGTCACACAAGTCATGCAATCCACAGGAGCACCACTAGTTACACCATTGTCTGGTGTGATACGGGTCACACAATCTACAAGCATGCCTAACGTTGCTCATTCTGCAGGTGTAACACAACTCACACAGTCTTTAGGTGTACCACAAGTTTCATCATTGTCAGGTGTGGTGCGGGTGACAGAAACTACAAGCATTCCTAAAGTCACACTTTCTGCAGGTGTCACACAAGTCACACAGTCCTTAGGAGCACCACGAGTTACACCGTTGTCAGGTGTGGTG